TACTAAAATTTTAGCATCATGGTCGAAAAGCGGCAGTGTTCGAAACGATATAGATATATACAACGCGCGCACACACACACACACACACACACACACATGCGCACACACATACACACACAAGTAACATTTCGAAACGGCCAAAGCTTTGCAAAATGCTTTCATCGGAAGGTTGAGTTGGTAATTCCTCCAGAAGTTGAAATGAACGTAAGGGTATAGTTAGTAATTTCTGTGTTAGTAAGTTGAATTAATAATTCCTTCAGAAAAACAAAATGAGCATTTTTTTTTTCACTTGCAGAGCATAAACTGCAAGGTTTATGGATGCAAGAACTTGAATCCGATCAACCCTCCTCCCTTTCTGTGATTATTTCTGTGAATCCGAAATTTTTCCGGAAAATTATTAAAGAATAAAAAACATCAAAAAAGAGAAGAATACAAACCTGGCTTCTTAATGCGCGTGCTAATTTCTCTTTCAGCTCATTATTTTCATGCTCAAGTTCTACTATTCGCTTCCTCAAAACGATGAGCTGCTTGCGATTTTCCAAATCTCGTCCATTTTTTTCTAGAAATTTCTAAAAAAAACTGCAGTTAAAAAAAATGTAATAAATATCGTCAAGGAATAAAAGTCGCCTGTCTAATGTATTTTTGGCCAAAAAAAACATGCCTCACTCTCCACTTTCCATTCATCTGGTCAATTTTCGTACGTCTTCTTAAAACAGCATATCAACTTTCGTGCTTCACCTAAAGTGTTTTTGGGCCCGACGATTTAATTTCTCAAATGCCTCCGCTAAAGGCAGCACTGATGATTCCCGCTTTTGTCCATACCTCAGCTCCGCCTGAGTTTACAGCCAAAGGATAAGACACGGTTTCTGCAATATCTCCCCTCTCACAATGAAATAATGGAAAGACAACGCTTTTTTCCTCGCTCAGTGCTCGATACTTCACATGGAAACAAAAATTTAATTTCCCTTCCCTCCCTCTACTCCCCCCTCTCCCTCCCCCCTCCGACCAAACATAGAATTCTCCTATCCTGAAGAATAAGCGCTCTTTCCTCCTTCATTTCTTACGTCCAGGTGAACAGATGTTTGGTTGCTTAACAAAAACCTAGAAAACCGCTCACCTGATAAGCAAGATCAAATGCTTCGCCAACGGCCAGAGTTATTTGTTCGGCAAGTTTTTCACTCAAAAACACGAAACAATCATGCCGACTCGAAGATTCTGCTTTTGCAATGAATGAAAAAACTCTTTTATCCTGCAAAACTGATCCCTTACGAACAACTACTGAAAATTCAACAACAGTTCTGGCCTCATGACGGAGTAGGCCAAGAAACGATAATTACTAAAACTTGGCTCGGCTCAGCATGGCCGCACCAAATGCACTCATTCCGAGGGAAATGCACTTTTTTATGAGTTCTGATGACAAATGGGAAAATCATAAACATACGTAAGGACTGGTTTTTCTGCTTAGTAAGATTCTGGAGTGAAAACACGTAATTAATAGCTTTCACTCAGCATCTAATTCCTTGCTTAGCACTACAGCTCGTATAAACCCAAGTCGCTTTCCAATCCTATCAAATCAAGTTTTGGG